AGAAGGATTTACATTGAATGATATTAAGAATGTGGAACTTGCACTAGATATTCAAATAAATGTTATTTGTGCTGAAAATTTAAATACTTTAATTTATAAGGGTGAGGATAAAGAAACTAAAATTTATTTGTATAAAAATGGTAATCATTTTGATGATATTAAATCAGGTAAAGGCTTCTATGGTTCGTCTTATTATTGTAATAAGTGCGATAAACCATATCAAAATAAAGATAAAAATAAAAATGTATGTAAATTGTGTACATATTATGGTGAGAGATTTGAACATTCAAGTAGTACAAAAAATAAAATATATTGTGAAAAATGTAATAGATATTGTTATAATCAAGAATGTGTAGATAATCATGATTATGTATGTTCTTATGTATATAAATGTATTAATTGTAATAGAATATTGTTTAGAGATAAGGAACATAATTGTGGTTACCTATAGTAAATGTAGAAATTATTTGGAAGAAGTGAAAATAAATGAACATCAATGTGTTATGCAACGTAGATTAGCATTAGGAGGTAAAAATGCTTAGTAGAATGTACAACATGTGGAGGTACAAATAAACCATATAAATGTCCTTATACAGAAACGTATATTACGCAAAAGGATACGATTCTCAATTTTTATTAAAATACTTGGTTGATAACTCTCTGAAACCATTTACAATTTATAATGTTACAAAATTAATGTTATTAGAAATTAAATATTTAGGTATAAGAATAATAGATAGTTCTAATTTTATTCAAGGTCCTCTCAGTAGTTTTCCCAAAACGTTTCGCCTCAAAGAACTGAAAATTTTACTTTCCGCATTTCTTTAATAGGTACAGTAGAAAATCAAAATTATATTGGTATATTACCGGATAAAAAATATTATGGATTCGAATCAATGAAACCAGAAAATAAACTAGAATTTGAAAAATGGTAAAATGAAAATTATTTATTTAATTTTAAAGAAGAATTAGAGGCTTACTGTGATTCAGATGTACATATTTTACGAAGAGGATGTTTAAAATTAAGAAAACAATTTTTGGATATAAATAGCATTGATCCTTTTTGCTATACAACCATAGCAGGTGTTTGTATGAGTATTTACAGATCAAAATATTTGTTAGAAGAAACTATAGCTGTTTTAGATAAAGAAAAAAATGAAAGTTATTCAAAACAGTCGATAACGTGGTTACAAAATTTAAATAAGAAAAATATCTCAAATGGTGTCAAAATAATAATAGCAGGAGCTAAAGTAGATGGATTTGATAATAAATCAAAAACGGTTTATCAATATCATGGATGTTTTTGGCACGGTTGTACTAAATGTTATAAAGATCGAGAAACTATAAATAAACAATGGATGATTTGTATCAAAAAACAATTGAAAGAAGTACAGCAATAAAAAAAGCTGGTTATAATTTTGTTGAGCAATGGGAATGTGATTGGATAAAGAGTACTACATACAAAAAAATGAAAAAAGCTGATATAGCTGACCCTATTAATCGTAGAGATGCTTTCTTTGGAGGTAGAACAAATACGGCAAAATTAAGAGTAAAAAAAACAAAAATACTTTATATTGATGTATGTAGTTTATATCCAACTGTGAATTATTATGATTATTATCCTGAAGGACATCCCGTAAAAAATTTACCTCCAAGAAATCTTTATCATCCTGTACTTCCAGTTAAAATAAAAATGGAAAAAAGTGAAAATTTATTATTTCCTTTGTGTTATAAATGTGCTGTAGACCAAAATCAAAGCTGTGATCATTCTACAAACGAAAGACAATTTATAGAAACATGGACCACAGATGAAGTTAATAAAACTTTGGAAAAAGGATATATTATAACAAAAATGAATGAGGTATGGCATTTTGAAGAGAAATCAACAGATTTATTTAAAGATTATGTTGATAATTTTATACAAATAAAATTAGAAAGTTCAAAACACAATTATAGTTGTAATGATGAGTACATAAAAACAATTTTCGATAAAATGGGTATTTTATTAGATAAATTAAAATTAGGTGATAATCCAGGTAGGAGAGCAAGGAGTTACAGCAACAGCAACTAAATCAAACGATTAAATTAATTAAATAAGAAAAATCAGTTAACAAAAAATTATTTAAGAATCCTAAAACAAAAAAAAAAACTAGTAGAAAAAAAACTATCTGATGAAGATGATGACACTGAATGTTTGTACTGTGGTCAAACATACATGATGTCAAATGAAGGATGGGTTCAATGTGTAGTATGCAAAAAGTGGGCACATTGTTCATGTGCTGGCGAGGACGATAATGATGACGAACTTTATCATGTCTGTGATATTTGTAAACAATAGACTATTTTACCTACTGTGATAAAACAAATGTGTTCCTGGAAAGTAAATAATAGGTACTTAGTAAATGTACCTTAGTTATCTTAAGTTATTTTATTATTATATTTGTTTTATAATTTGTTATTTTATATTATATTATGTGTAGCCTAAAAGTCATTAGGATTGATTTTGGAAGGAACAGTTTTTATTATTTTATGAAAGTTAAAAATTAAATTCTAATTTACAGTTATTTTATTATTAAACCTAAAGTAATAAGATAAAATGTTTGGAATTGTTTTATAATTTGATATTTTATATTTTATTTATGTAATACAATATTATTAAAAAATAATAATACATTTTTCTTATATTATTATATGTGTCCCATCTTGAACATATCGTGTCCCATTTTACCTCGATAACAGGGTAAGATGAGACATTTTGAGTAAAACAGTTAAAAAATTCTCAATATTTTCCTCTTAAATTTTAAGAATTGTTATTGCATATTAAGGTACGTCATAATATTTGTAATGACTTTAAAATATTTTTAACGTGATAAGTTATAAATTGTTTATTTTATATGAGTTTAAGTATTAGGTGTCCCGTCTTCCCCATAAAAGATTTATTAATCTCTTATATTATAAAACACAAATAGTCTCCGTTTTTCGCCACCAGGCGCGACGCGACAAATAAGGATTTCCGCGTTTCTTCCATGACGACCAATAATATTACTTGAAATTTTAATGAGCCACTTTTTTTTCTCCATTAATTCATCCATGATTGAACTAGAAAATAAAATAAAATAAGGATTACAATCATTGTAAATTACCTATGCACTTTTACACTCACTTGTCAATTAAATGATTTAAATTACCCATTATCATATTACTAATTACATAATCCAATTCTTCAACTGATGTTATAAGCTTTAAATCTAAATTTTGAGAGTCTACGTTTTGAGGTGGATTTCCAAAGTAATTATACAAATTATTTGGTAAAAATGTTGTCTCCTCATGTATTGTTAATGTTTTTTGGATGTGTAAATAATGACAATAATTTAAGACACAATTGCCTTGGAATATCTTCATTGTCTCTTTGATAGATTGTGCAATTTTTTTTTTGAATTTTTTTGTGACGAATCTTTTAGCTAAACCATGTATCTCCAATGAGCCTCCTGATATTATTGTGTCTTCCTCATTTTCATGCTCTACGTATCTTATACATTGTTGATATTTTTAAATCTAGATAATGCCTGTAAATATTATTATTATTATTGTATTTTATTGTTATAATTTGTATAATTGTTACATACTTGCGTGTTATTGTTCATATGGTATTGAATATTGTGTATGTTAGACAGTATTGTTTGATTTAAATGTTCTCTTTGGTTTATACGGCAAGCATAACTATTTAAGTACATCATTAATGCTTCACTAGTTACTATATTGTTTATATTTTTTAATGTAGAAGCAATTTTCACAGTCAGGTTCTGTAAAATGAAAATTAATTAAAAAAAACCAATGTAAATAAGTTAATGAAAAAGTTGTACTTGCCTCACTTCCGAGAAATTGTCTTTTATATTTGGTAGTTTCTTTAACATGCTTCATCATTATGTGATGGATCAATGTACATTCGTATAAGAATTCTTTTACACAATAAGGACATGTGATCATCATGAACTCTAATTTGGCATCAGTCGACGAATAGTTGTAGCATATTGGCAATCGTTGTTCAAAAACTATAATCATAAAATAATATGATATAAATATGCGCTATTTACATATTTTATGTGCGTCTGTGTGTGTACTTTAATGTACACGAAATACACCATAAGAATGCCCTAGCCGTTATATCGTCATCACGCTCACCAAAATTAAATGGAGGGTAGCTCTGGGTACAAGTAACGTGCTGCGTTAATATCAAGTCGACAGGTGAAAGGGTTGATTTTAAATAATTACCTGAATTACCTGAACGACATTCCTCCATTAGCGCGTAGTCCTCGCTACATCCTACACTGTGTGGCTCCATAGAAACAAAACGGATTAGACAGATACACACCGATATAAACGGACAGACACTACAAATTATAATATATTTATAAAAAATTAAATTTTATTAATAATATTTTATTATAAATTTTTTATATAATTTATAAAAATTATAATAATATTTAAGTACATCATTAATGCTTCACTAGTTACTATATTGTTTATATTTTTTAATGTAGAAGCAATTTTCACAGTCAGGTTCTGTAAAATGAAAATTACAGTAGAACCCGTTTAAGACGCTCTCGCTTAAGACGATTTCCCGGCTAATACGCTCATTTTTACGAGTACCTTGATTTTGACAACGTTTAACATAGAATTAACTCTGGATAATACGCTCTATGTTCCCGGATAAGACGCTCGCCTTGTCAGTTATATTAATATAAAAATACATCGTATATACGTATCACTAATAATATGTAACTAAATAATAACGATAACGAATAGTGTTAGTATTACTGGTTTTCGGTAAGACGATTAGATACGACACACTACACAGTACACATGGCTATTCACGTAATCGGAATATAATCGGATATGGCCCCAGTTAACAAAAGTTAGTGGTTGTATAAATACGTATAGTAAAGTGTAATTTATTTTATCCTCTTTAAGTGTAAATTGTTCGAGTTAAATTTTTAATTATGGCTGATCGTGGAGGAATTAAACGAAAAGCTCTTTCTGTTACTGACAAGTTAAACATTTTAAAAATGTACGATGAAAAAAGTGTCAACAAAAATCAAAAAGAAATTGCAAAAGAAATGGATTTACCTGCATCGACCCTACGAACAATTTTGGCAAACAGAAGTAAAATTGAGAGCAGTGCAATGACCGGTAGTTGTAAACGACAAAAAATAAAACATGGTAAATTCGATGAACTAGAACATATTTTGTTGGAGTGGTTTAACCAAGCACGTACTTTAAATTTACCTGTGAATGGTAACATTGTCACCGAAAAAGCACATGAAATTGCTAAACGGCTTAATATTGATGAATTTTCTGGATCTGGTGGCTGGATTGATCGGTTCAAGAAAAGGCATGGTATTGTATATCGACAAATTTGTGGCGAAGCAGAGTCCGTTAATGACGCTGATATCGCTGCATGGAGTGAAAATATTTTGCCAAATATTTTAAAAGAATACTCTTCTAATGATATATTCAATGCAGATGAGTTTGGGTTATTTTTTAAATTGATGCCTGATAAATCTTTGGTGTTTAAACGTGAAAAATGCCGTGGTGGCAAACTAAGTAAAGAACGTCTATCAGTTTTGGCATGTACAAATGCTACTGGCTCTCAAAAGTTAAGACTTCTAGTTATTGGAAAAAGTAAAGCTCCACGTTGTTTTAAAAATGTACGTACATTTCCATGTGATTACGTATCACAAAATCGTGCTTGGATGACAGGTGATATTTTTATAAACTGGATAAAACAATTAGACCTCTCTTTTAAAAAACAGAATAGGAACATTTTACTGTTTGTAGATAACTGTCCTGCACATCCTACTACTATTCCACTTGAAAACATAAAACTTGTTTTTTTACCCCCAAACGCAACAGCCAAATTACAGCCTCTGGATCAAGGTATTATCAAGGTTTTAAAACAAAAATATCGAAAAAATTTGGTTTTAATACTTAAAAGACTTGAAAGAAATGGAAAGTAAAAATCCCGCGAAAAAAGTTGACGTACTCGATGCATTACACTACGTATCTGCAGCATGGGATGAAATTACGGCTGATGTCATTAAAAATTGTTTTCGAAAAGCAAAATTTGTTGAGGGTGATTACAGTGCCGTGGAGAAAAGCAGCGAAGATTTTCAAGAATTGGAGGAGTTTCCAGGATATGCAGAAATTGACTAGAACGTCGCCACAAGTAACATTAGAAGCATTGACCAGATAATTACTGATAAAATTGCACCGGCTGATGTAACTTCTATAGATGAAGAAAGCGAAGACGAGGAAGAGGATGATACAACACCGATTCTCCCAGTAGTAAATGCACTTGATTATGTTAATGAGCTAAGAAGATTAGTTGCATCTTTTGACGACGCTGATGAATCGTTAAATCATCTTAATAAAATTGAAAACTTCCTGTATGCAAAAAACATAAAAAATATGAAACAAAGGAAGATAGATGATTTTTTGAAATAAGTAATATGTATAAAATAATATGCAATATAAATGTAATAACTCACTCAGCAAAGTAAAATAAACATAATAGGTACATGTTTAATATGTACAATATGTAAAAAAAAATTTTGTTCCCGCGTAATACGATTTCCTGCTTAAGACGCTACTTTTAACTGGTCCCTTGGAGAGCGTCTTAAACGGGTTCTACTGTAATTAAAAAAAACCAATGTAAATAAGTTAATGAAAAAGTTGTACTTGCCTCACTTCCGAGAAATTGTCTTTTATATTTGGTAGTTTCTTTAACATGCTTCATCATTATGTGATGGATCAATGTACATTCGTATAAGAATTCTTTTACACAATAAGGACATGTGATCATCATGAACTCTAATTTGTCACCAGTCGACGAATAGTTGTAGCATATTGGCAATCGTTGTTCAAAAACTATAATCATAAAATAATATGATATAAATATGCGATATTTACATATTTTATGTCCCGTATACACAAAATCCACAATTAGAATGCCCTAGCCGTGATATGGTCATCACGTTCCCCAAAATTAGGGGGAGTTTAGCTCGGGGTACTAGTAGCGTGCTGCGTTAATATCAAGTCGATAAGTAAAAGGGTTGATTTTATAAAGATGTTCAGAGAGGGAAATATATATTACCGGGTAGGTCCTGTATACACAAAATCCACAATTAGATTGCCCTAGCCGTGATATGGTCATCACGTTCCCCAAAATTGGGGGGAGTTTAGCTCGGGGTACTAGTAGCGTGTTGCGTTAATATCAAGTCGATAAGTAAAAGGGTTGATTTTATACATTTTGTCGAAATTTTAAAATCACGATCCAAGGCATACGAGTGTATATCTATGCGCGGCTAGCTCCATACTCTGAAATAACGGTGATACCGATTTATAACTTTGGCGAGACAGAGGCTAATGGGCCCCGAACAAGGTTATGAGTGCCGGTGTCGTTCGGGGGAGTTGTGGTTTTTCGTCAAAAAATCGATAGGTACCCCCCCAAAGGACATAAAATTTAGATTATTTCACCGGGTAGGTCCCGTGTACACAAAATCCACAATTACAATGCAAAAGCCGTGATATCGGCATCACGTTCCCCAACGTTTAGGGGAGGGTAGCTCAGGGTACTAGTAGCGTGCTGCGTTAATATCAAGACGATAGGTAAAAGGGTTGATTTTATAAAATTGTTCAGAGATGGAAATATATATTACCGGGTAGGTCCCGTATACACAAAATCCACAATACGATACGGTTCACATGGATCATATAGGACCATTTGTGACTACTTCAACAGGAAATAAGTATATACTAGTCATTGTTGACAATCTCACAAAGTTTACATGTTTGTTGCAGTAAAAGACACAAGTACTAATGGTACGATCGACAACTTGACAACGTTAGTGCAAATGTTTGGACTGCCCAACCGTTTGGTCACTGACAAAGGGACATGCTTTACGGCCAGAAAGTTTGAAGAGTTCTGCGAAGAGAAAGGGGTACACCATACGTTAACCTCAACGCGAAGACCACAAGCAAACGGGCAAGTAGAACGTACAAATAGTATTGTGCTGTCAATGTTGGTTGCACAGGTTACGAAAGAAGATGAATGGGACCAGTGGCTGCCAGTAGTACAGATGCAGATCAATAACAGTGAGAGCAAGGTAACTCAGAGGACAACATTCGAACTGTTACATGGGTACCGACCTCGGTTTAGACTGGGGAAGACAAGAGAACTATCAGAAACAGTAGACACTTGGACGTGTCCAAATGAACTGTGGGAGGAGGCCAGGGAAGCTTCTGAGAGGTCAAAAGCAAAGATGAAAGAAGACTATGATTTGCACCGACACAACAACACTAAGTATACGGTTGGAGAAATTGTTGTGATGACGACAGTGCCTACTCATACGGGGCAATCAACCAAATTGCAAAATAAATACAGAGGCCCATTGACAATCACAGAAGTATTGCCAGGAGATGTCTATCGGGTTGCTCAACTACAAGAAGATGAGAAAAGACGTTTTACAACAACAGCACATGTATCTCAGCTCAAATCTTGGAGGTTGGAGGATGAACCAGACGAAGCGAGTGATACCAGCGAGGAAGAAGGACGAGGGCCAAATGGTGAGACCAGTTGTGAAGATGATGCTGATCCACCACCAGAACACCAGAAGAATGGCAAAGAGGTTAGGAGATCGGTCAGGGTCAGGAAGAAGCCTACAAGGCTAGACGATTATGTCTAACGATACTTATGATAACTAAGATAATTATAATGTTTTGTTGTTGTTTGTTTTTTTTTTGTTTATTATATTTTGTATATCATGTTAATATGCTATGAGGACATAGCAAGGCAGGAAGGCCGAGTGTAAAGTATGAGTTGGCCAGACTGCTCTAACTGGACACTAGCTGAATGTTAGTACTGTCTAGTAGACAGTAGTCTCGACTAGTCGTTCACGGTAGTCACTAGTCAGTAACAGATGTTTCCAGTATGTGTGCTTAGTAATATGTCTTTAACAGTACATTTCCGAATTACATAAAATATACTGTGCTGTAATATTTATTTATCAGGTTGCACTTGCCTATGGATAACATTTATTCTTTATCCTTCTACTGTACACAAATGTGGATATATCATGTGGCCTTAATAATAACACAATATTATTTTCTTACAGAAACATGCGACAAGTATGGCAAAGGGAACAAGATGCTGCTGCGGCCAATCCAATGTTGCAACCGAAAAGAGTGACCATGCACATGGTCGCCGACCCGAACAATGACCCACGGCGATACAAACCAGCTGCTCATGTGAACGAGGTAGCAGTTGTCTTTGTTGGAGAAGATGGTCTACCACCAGGAAACCTCGATCTGGTCATCTATGACTCGAACCCAGTTGACCCAAATCACCGGATGCAAAGCATATCAGCTGGCTCACCTCATGCAGATCCAATGCTGTATCCATTGCTCTTCCCACTTGGAGAAACCGGCTGGCATTACAACCTGCAACAAGAGGGCGTCCGCCGGAACGCAGTGTGTGTTCGGAACTCTATCAGAGAGTTTGCTTCTTATCGCCTGGCCATCAGATACACCGGAACCAATAGCAATGGGAATGAAGGCCATACGTTTAGTTTATTACACTCAGCTGGTTTTTTGTTACAGCAGTACATATGTGATCAGTACGTTCGCGTGGAAGCGAACAATCTACGTTACATCCGAGACAACCAGAAAGCACTCTTTGCTGACGCCTATCAAGGCCTTCTGGACCATATTAACCAACAGTTCCGCCTAGACGAAATCGATCCGGTCGGCCGCAGGACAATTCTGCCTTCGACGTTTCTAGGCGGCCCTCGGTACATGAAACAATGTTACCACGACGCAATGTCCATTGTGCGTAAGTAAGGAAAGCCTGACTTATTCATAACATTTACGTGTAACCCTAGGTTGCCAGAGATAGAAGATAACATTCCGCGTTGGTTGAAGGCAACCAACAGGCCTGATTTGGTTTCGAATCCTGGTGAACGCAACGCTCAACACCTCCCACCGAAGCTGCCGAACCATATCAGGCATCCGTACAGTGTAGTTTTTCCTGTACCTCCGGGTCCGTCGACGAAGAAAGTTTGCGACACCTCGTCTGGGTCTTCGACAGAAGCCATCACGCGATCGTACACCGTTCGCTGTTCGCCGTTCAAGTTGTCCACTTATTGGGCCCACCGTACCTCCTAGTCTATTTCTCGGAATAGCGCGTTGTCGTCCTGCAGCGGTTTCAGTAGAAGGGGGTCGGCGAGGGGCAAACCGTAGTTGACCGAGTTGACTTTCCGTTGTTAGGTTAGGTTACGTACCTCTACTATTATTTTTTCGGGGAACGTACCTACGGGATGGTTCATAATTTTACTTTTATCAAAATGGGCCATCATAATATTTGTCTTATGGATTATATCATAAACTAATTAATATTAACTAATTATTACTTAACTATTAATTTATTTACTTTTATTATCCTTTTGAGTTTGTTATGATTTATAACAATAATATAATAATACATTATATATTTACATTCAGTAATTACTATGTATTATAATAATTAAATTTTTTTTTTAAATTTAGTATACAGTGTGTCCCGTGTTATATGTACCACTAAATATCTCAGCCCGATGGTCTTAGATTTAAAAACAGTTTGATGTGATAGAATTTCAAATTTCGCGCATGCGCAATACAACTTAAGTTTTTTTTTAATAGCAACCCCTATTTTTGACACCAGATATGGGTAGACCATTTTTTTTTAGTACATTTTAATCCATTGACCATAATCCTAAACACAAAATTGACCAAGTTACAGAAGTTTCCTAAATTATAGGAGTAATTAATATATATTTATATATAAATATCATCTTACCATAATTTATGACCGGTTTAGCCGATACTCTACTAGGTCCTGGCTTTAATTCATCATCTTTAATGACCAATTTATTGCATACTAAGGATAAACAAAATAAGTTAATGCCCACCTTTGTAAATCATAATAACATGTATTATATTAATTAATAGGTCTGGGATTTATATGTAATAAAAAACCAAAAATATGTATATATATGTAATTAAAATTACCAAAATATGGGGGATAAAATAAAGAATATGTAATAAAAAAAATTTAAAAATATGTTAACGAGTTAAAATAAACCAAAATTAAGTTATTAATATTTAACAAATATTTTTATATATTTATTTCCTATTATGCATTATACACATACAATTTTTACGATATAGTATATTACCATTAAATTTTTTGAAATTTTGTTCTGCAAACTCAAGTTTCTCTGTAAATGTCTGTGCCGGTGTTGATGCTCGGTGTACCACTATAAGTTAAGCAAAATAAATATTAAAATTGTCAAATATAACACAATTATGTTAGGATACACACACTACCTTATTAATATAATTAAATATATATATCTACAACATTATTTTATCAAAAAACTAACGCTTGTCATCATCAGCATTACCAACAACTTTTACATCAATGACCACTTTATTGCATACTAAGGATAAACAAAATAATAAGTTAACAAATTACACTACCAAACTTAGTACTTACGATCCTCGACAACAACCCTAACTACTGTGCACAGGGCACACATACACGATATGTCCTCTTCACCGAAGTAGTGATTGCTATATTGGACAGTTACTTCTACGCCTGAATTAATATCAGATATTGTTTCTAACGAAATTTTCCCGTCGGATTCAGGCTTAAAACGACTATTAGGAATACAGCTATGGTTTACATATGCAATAGGACCGAGCAGCAAATGCATTGTCTCAGATTTCCCACTGTATATCATGGAAAAATCATTGACACCTATAATGAAAAGTAAAAATAAATAAATACTATAAAAATGTTAATGTATAATAAACAATGTAAGGTACCTGGTATGATGTATTTATCATCAATCGCGAAGTGATGTCCTCCTAACTCTATCAGTAATAAGTTACACAATATTATTTTCTTACAGAAACATGCGACAAGTATGGCAAAGGGAACAAGATGCTGCTGCGGCCAATCCAATGTTGCAACCGAAAAGAGTGACCATGCACATGGTCGCCGACCCGAACAATGACCCACGGCGATACAAACCAGCTGCTCATGTGAACGAGGTAGCAGTTGTCTTTGTTGGAGAAGATGGTCTACCACCAGGAAACCTCGATCTGGTCATCTATGACTCGAACCCAGTTGACCCAAATCACCGGATGCAAAGCATATCAGCTGGCTCACCTCATGCAGATCCAATGCTGTATCCATTGCTCTTCCCACTTGGAGAAACCGGCTGGCATTACAACCTGCAACAAGAGGGCGTCCGCCGGAACGCAGTGTGTGTTCGGAACTCTATCAGAGAGTTTGCTTCTTATCGCCTGGCCATCAGATACACCGGAACCAATAGCAATGGGAATGAAGGCCATACGTTTAGTTTATTACACTCAGCTGGTTTTTTGTTACAGCAGTACATATGTGATCAGTACGTTCGCGTGGAAGCGAACAATCTACGTTACATCCGAGACAACCAGAAAGCACTCTTTGCTGACGCCTATCAAGGCCTTCTGGACCATATTAACCAACAGTTCCGCCTAGACGAAATCGATCCGGTCGGCCGCAGGACAATTCTGCCTTCGACGTTTCTAGGCGGCCCTCGGTACATGAAACAATGTTACCACGACGCAATGTCCATTGTGCGTAAGTAAGGAAAGCCTGACTTATTCATAACATTTACGTGTAACCCTAGGTTGCCAGAGATAGAAGATAACATTCCGCGTTGGTTGAAGGCAACCAACAGGCCTGATTTGGTTTCGAATCCTGGTGAACGCAACGCTCAACACCTCCCACCGAAGCTGCCGAACCATATCAGGCATCCGTACAGTGTAGTTTTTCCTGTACCTCCGGGTCCGTCGACGAAGAAAGTTTGCGACACCTCGTCTGGGTCTTCGACAGAAGCCATCACGCGATCGTACACCGTTCGCTGTTCGCCGTTCAAGTTGTCCACTTATTGGGCCCACCGTACCTCCTAGTCTATTTCTCGGAATAGCGCGTTGTCGTCCTGCAGCGGTTTCAGTAGAAGGGGGTCGGCGAGGGGCAAACCGTAGTTGACCGAGTTGACTTTCCGTTGTTAGGTTAGGTTACGTACCTCTACTATTATTTTTTCGGGGAACGTACCTACGGGATGGTTCATAATTTTACTTTTATCAAAATGGGCCATCATAATATTTGTCTTATGGATTATATCATAAACTAATTAATATTAACTAATTATTACTTAACTATTAATTTATTTACTTTTATTATCCTTTTGAGTTTGTTATGATTTATAACAATAATATAATAATACATTATATATTTACATTCAGTAATTACTATGTATTATAATAATTAAATTTTTTTTTTAAATTTAGTATACAGTGTGTCCCGTGTTATATGTACCACTAAATATCTCAGCCCGATGGTCTTAGATTTAAAAACAGTTTGATGTGATAGAATTTCAAATTTCGCGCATGCGCAATACAACTTAAGTTTTTTTTTAATAGCAACCCCTATTTTTGACACCAGATATGGGTAGACCATTTTTTTTTAGTACATTTTAATCCATTGACCATAATCCTAAACACAAAATTGACCAAGTTACAGAAGTTTCCTAAATTATAGGAGTAATTAATATATATTTATATATAAATATCATCTTACCATAATTTATGACCGGTT